AAACTAACTACTCTCTCTCTCTCTCTCTCTCTCTCTCTCTCTCTCTCTCTCTTATGATTAATAATAAGAATAGTTAATGATATATATTATATATGACCAAAATAAATATTTAACAATAAGATTCGATATAACTAAAATGTAGCAATTAAATTTAATTCATAAATACTATACCGCGCACACTTCTATTTGATAATATGACAGTATATATGAAAATGTTTGGGAAAAAAAGCAATGTACGCCAACCAAAAAAGTGCATCAAGCAACCAAAAAAAAAAGAGATTTACGATGCTATAATTTTATTCTTTTATAAGTCTATTCGAAAAATGATTTCTATTATTCATAAGAGTAAAGCAGAAGTAACAACAAAGCTGCGATTGTCACCGCGTTGCATTTTGCGCATATCAATCAATAGCGGTCAGCAATATGTAATAGAAACAAGATGCAAGTTAATGAACAACATGCAAGAAAGACTCACCTGTAATCGACATCCATGGATAGCGAGGTATGTCCGAGATTCCGGGTTGACCGGTGGTAGGTTGCTGGCAGGATGTCAAGGGATCGACAACGGCCGATGCTGCAGCCGCTTGGTGGTAGAATTGTGCCGCCGCTGCCATGGAGGCCGATGCGGCCGACACGGCCGAAGAAGCAGACGCGGACGAAACGAGGCTACCGGGCGTAGCACCGTTCTGATGATGATGACCGAGAGTATAGTTAACCATAGGATCGGCCGATGTAGGTGCGACATTACCGGTGAGACTAGCTGTGTAACGGCAGGATTTGTCGCCGGCAGTCGCGGCATCCACAGCGGCGGCTGCAGCTAGGGCAGCGCTGGATGCCGCTGAGGATCCGAAACCGGGCACCATGCTAGACGTGGCGCCGAACGCGGCGGCCGCAACCGCCTGCTGTTGCTGATGATGATGATGCGCCGCTGCGGCGGATACGTAGGGATACATACTGGACGTGGTACGCGCCGCCGGTGAGGTCGAAGCGGAGCTTCCTGAGTGCTGTGGACTCGAACCCGTCGGGCTCGGTGAATTGTGCTGCTGCGCGTAATTGACCGCCGCGGCCGCTACTGCAGCCGCGGATAAACTCGATTCTAGGCTCGCGGTAGCCGGACTCGTTGTGCACTGAATTGTACCTGGATTTGCGCTTGAGAATAATTGTTGCGGGTGGAATTGCTGGTACTTAGCAGGTAGCATACTATCAATTATGAATTTCGTACTCATATCGCCTCGTGTCGGTGCCGATGCGGAGCTGATGCCGAAGACACGCCCGGGCCGGATGACCGGGACGAGTGTCTCAACACCGACACCGTGACGGCACGTCCACCGGCTGCTGCCTCACCGCCATAATCCGTCTTCGCACGGATCGTGATCGCACTGTTTTCTCGATTCAAGCCGTAAATATCGTCGTCGTTGTGGAAGAACGCGTAACACTTTCTCTCTACTCGGCAGAAAATCTTTTCTATTTGCTTTATCGCTTCCCGCGTCCACTATCTATCTTCTTCCCTATCAGCAATCAACGTCCACTTTTACTGCCACTTACGCAACTCAGCACATTATCACAACAACAATACCGAAACGCGGCGGGATGCGGTCACTGGGGACGACTGACCACGAATCATCGACTGTCCGCGACGGTAAATGACATGTCCCTCCTCTCGATCTCGGAGTTAGGAGCCACCAATCGCGATTCTTCGCATTCGGAGCATTGGTTCCGCGCGCTTCAACGTAATCGCATCTTCCGATTACAAATCCATCCGTGTATCAGAATGAGAATCGACGATAAAGTAATTCGGTAGGTCCTTCTTCAATCAGGCCCACCCCGGTCGGTCCGGTCGTGGGTCCCAGCTTGCAAAATTAGGCGACGGCGTAGCCGGCGACGGCACGAGGAGAGAGACGAGAAGAGCGTGGCCCCTGTCAGGTGTTAGAAGCCGTTTCTTGCGTACTTCTCGGATAGTCGACGAATCCTTTATGGGCCATGCATGAAGGTACTATAGCCCCCTATCCCGAACGCCGCGTACTACAACCCACGGCCAGCTAAATGTAACCCCTTACAATAATGGCGCCGCTTGTCTCTCCGTTCTGTTCACCCCTCTCCTCTACGAGGCAGGAGCGCGCTGGGGAACCAGCTGGTAAACAGAACCGTCCAATCGTGGCGTGGCCTTACTCAAGGTGGACCAATCACAGGCATGCTAGGCGCGTCAAGATGAATGGGTCTCTCTCTCCTCCGGTTCTCCTCTTCCTCCGATCTTCGCTTTCGACTATACTCCGCACTCACTTCCCTCACTTAGACTTCACCTCTCGCTCGCTCGCTCGCGTATACCCGGCGTGCTCCGTCCGTCCGACGGTCCGTACGTTCGCCTCTTGCCAGTGCAGTCGCGCTCGCCACGTTGCCTTATACTTCGCAACGTTCCAACGTCTCACACGGTATTTTCTATCCTTCTCTATGTTACTCCACTTATCTCTCTCTTTCTCTCCACTTGTCTTTTTCTTTCTCTCGCGTTTTGTCTCTTTCTCTGACGTTTAGATGCAGTCTTTTTATCTTCTTCTTACGCTAGTTTCATCCTGCTCTTCGAAATTATTTTTTTCTTCCTTCCAGATCTCTTCAAAGCAGCATTTTTTCGAATTCTTGCTTCAATACACATTATTCGCTTTCCATTTAGTCTGTAATATTGATATGATGATCGAGTATCATGATCATTATGTCTTCAAATATTCAATTGTATTACTTTCATTTCATCTAAAAATCATTTTTCTCATCCTCTTTCATAAATATTACTTTTTAATAATATTATTTCAGATTCAGCAAAATAGAAATTTTCTATTTATTTCAACAAAATTTTCTCTGCTTTATCTCTTATAAATTAATGTGTATTACGATAATGACAATTTCTCAGGCAACAAACTTTTTTAATATGTTGTACTTTTATTTTTCTTCATTAACACATTATAAATTTTATTCATCCGACGGCAGAGCATTTCTGTGCCACACTTGTTATCTGCAGACTCGTTGTTTCTTTCGTGAATTTATGATATAAATCTAATGTGACATGTTGAAGTGTAATTTAGGTAATTGTCTTTTTTAATCCATAAAGTTGTACGCGCAACTTTGAAGCTGTCAAAAGTAATTCCATTAAAAACATCCCATTCGCGTTTTTTCCCTTGACTCTCTTTTTCTCTGTTCCTTCCTTTTTTCTCTTTATTCTCTTGTCGTTGCTTTCGCCAAGCATTGCAGGAACTGGCGCGATTCGGCCGTCGTCGAATCGTCAACTCGTCGACTTTTGGAAACCACTGAACTCGTCCCGGTTGGGATATCGCGGCGGCATTTCTATGTGGGAATGGTGGCGCGGCATTGGGGTGAGAGGTGACGCGGCTTGCGAGAGGGAGCGGCTTACGTCGGGGGCAAATATCGTGATAGAAGGTGTACCGGGAATATCGCACGCGAAGGTAGTAAGGTGCGGAGGGCGAGTAAAACTTACAACCTGAATTCCGGCATTTCTTACGATAGACAGCTCATTCTATACCCTCATTTTGTTGATAAACTTTGTATGCTTAAAGTGTAATTTTTCTTAATAGAAAATGCATTGGTTTATCACATAATTGTTATTTTGACATAATTATTACTATCACTATTCTAAATTAATTTGCTGGAAAAAAAATAAGAATTATCATGCATCATTAATTAATTTTTTCATTTATCACGAATTGTGATTCAGCGAAAAGAAAGATTTTTTTGAAAAAATTACAAAACTGATCTTACATTCTGCATTATACATGCAAATCTTTCAACTATGTTAACATCTAATTATCTGAAAATTAATTAACTTAAAATTAATTTAAAAAGTCCGTTTTTAATATCGGTTGATAAGGAAATGATTGATTGCTTTTTTAGACTTTTAAACTAGTTATCTACATTTTTTTTCAATATAACAGTCTATATAATCATAATGCCAACTTTTTCGCATTTTTTTCTTGTACTCATTCATCGCTATCATAAGAATGAATCAGAATTATCATACATATCGGTTCTACTTAAATTATTAAAAAAGGACTTACCTGCCGAAGAAGTATTCACATGACTTTGCACAACTCACATCAGTATTGAATGAATTAAATAACATTACATGAATTAAATAACGTAACTCCAGTTGTATTTACGAATCTTTTGGGAGCAATACAACACCAAGTACTTACGAAACTGGATGCAGGATCATACGAAGACCGTTCCCTGAAACCAAAGTTAGGAAATATTAATTCGTTTATTTTGACATGTAGAAAAGAATTTTTATTTTAATTCATATTAACATTTATAAAATTTTGTTAATCTTTTTTTATTTACCGTATCTTGTACATACATATCTCATATCCTTAAATTTATTCTTTTAAATGTTTCTTTGAGTTACATAATTTGAAGGAATATTCGAGACACAGTAAAAATAGAACTCAAGTAACTTAATGCAAAATATGAGTTCGCATATGAATGATATGCATTTTTAAATCTAATCTATAGAAATAAATATATTTCCTGCTCTATGCCTCTCGTCCTTTAAAATAGTCTGTCGCCTAACATTCAATATCTATGAATTTTCAAAAAATGTTCACATACACACTGAGAGAATAAATAAAAAAAAATGTTTCTAGTATATTTGATAATTATATTAAAGTATTTGACACATGAATAAGATGCCAGAAAAATGTTTATTAATAATACTTAACCGTCATGATTTACGAATCGTCATTAGTAAGAATAATTCTATCTATATGCAAATGACAGTTTTGCAAAGTAATGAATGATGCAAAAAAATTCTATTAAATATTAAAAACACGTATTCATTATTCATTTTCATAAATTATATATTAGATTAACAAATCATAAGTTAACAATAACTAATTTCAATCAAAAAAGTATTACACAATTTTGCTATATTTACTAATGCTCAAGTTTCTCCTCTCGTTGTCAATAAATAAGTTTCAAAACATTCAATTTATCTGATTGCGGTAATTCCATAAAACGCAATTGATTTATTGCTGTAAAAGAGGGCAATCGCTGTGAATCATGTGAATTGAAACAAGAATGCAATCCCAGAAAACTGATCATTACAATACAACTGATTCAATTATATCAACGATCACTCGTCGGATCTCAACATCTTTGCTCGACTGAATAAGACACAAGCGTGATCAGAACCACACTTACGCATATGCACACACCCACATAAATACGAGATAAGCGTGTAGACACACAGTCTCCTTTGCGACGAAGACGGGCGTGTATCTGTCTCAAACACCACGGAATGTAAATTACAATCGCGCTAAGCATGCGAAGCTACAAAAGACATGGAGAAAGGTAGAAATTTGGCGTGTGTGCGTTTGCAGCGAGATGTGTGGGAGATAAAAAGAGATGCTCTGCCTCCTCTAAAACATGTTCCGTTGGAGACTCGTCAGACATGCTGTGTCCTTCAGCGAATCTTTAGACAGACTTTTTGATGAACAAAAGAGAGGGACATTGGGTTGAATCGAAAAAGAAAAATAAGGCGGTGGTCAGTAGGTGTTGATCCTCGAATCCATTCGGGGAGACGCCCTAACGATTGGGGAAGAGTACCTATTGCGCCATCTCCGAGAAGGTAAAAGTAATCCGCAACCCTCTCGCTATGTACCGATATCTTTTGCTTATTTGATAGATAAATTTAGAGTTCAGGATGTCAAAACTTCCTTAAAAAAATCAGTTAAATTATCGCTAATTAAAAGATATAAGTTTATAGCAGTAATAAATTTATAAAGAACAAAAATTAAGATCTTATAAATAACCGTAGGGTTATTATTATACAACTTTACACTTTGCGCACAAAATTAAGTAATTTTAATTTATAGTATATAAATAAGTAATTATAAATAAATCAACTCAATTAATATGTATTATATATTATTTTTAGATATTATATCTATTTATTCTGGGTAAAATTTTATTATGTTGATCTGTATTTTGATATGTAAAATTGACAAATAATTGACATATATTTCCATATTTTATACATATATTTTGATGCACGATTTTATTACTTTATTCAAGAGAAAGAGTATTATATATGTATATATCCGAGACATTTATTTTCAAGGATCAACTTCTGCTAATGAGTTTTCACATCCTAATCTGTGATTTTACAGATAATATTTATTGAGTGCTTAAATATCAGTATGAGAAGGCTCCGGTTTTGCTTTTCGTATTTTGCATGATGAACCACACTCTTTCATATATTACGAAGTGCTAATCACGAGGCAGAGCACACGACGTCGACGAGCCGACCGCGAAGCACGTGACAGTCGACCGATCGTCTGACAGCCGCGACGTTAGTGACGTAATGACGTGCGGAAGGTCCGGAACGTGCGGGACGAGCGAATGAGCCGGCGTGTGACAGTGACAGTCTCGCGAATGGGGCGGGCCTCTTAATGACATCTGCTGAGAAAGGAACGAGGAAGTGAGAGGAAACGAAAAACGGTTCACAGTGCCCAAGAAGGGAAAGAGAGGAAACGAGGCAGAGAAGTGAAGTGTAGAGAAGAGAGCGGGGCAAAACGGTCGGACTTGTGACTCGATGCGTTTTACTGCTGCTTTACGGCGGTTTATTGCACCATCAAAACATAAAATGCCCGGTCGGGAAGCGTGCATGCGCGTGGGTACACCCCCACTTCACTTTTACCGCTGACTGCCGGTTAAACCAGGCAACATTCCCCGATTTCTTGCTCCACGTTCTCGTCCGGCCATCTCAAATCTCTTTCCCCTTCCCTCCACAAACGCGGTCACTGGCTCCCTTATGCCACTTCTTTTTCGTCTTCTCGCGAAGTTCACGCCCTTTTTGATATCATGTATTTTATTCGCCACTAGTCTTGTCTCGAAAAGTTCACCCTCCGTCACATCGCTGAAATGCGCTTATGCGGTAATCTTCGTCTAGCAATCACAGTGACTTTGATCAGATCTGGTAGAGTCATTTATTCATCTGCAATGTAATGGGATTCGGAGCACGAAAGCAATATAAATAAATTTAAGATATTTTCTTTCTATTATTTATTAAACTTCAACTATTATATGAAATAGCATTATAAAAAAGTGTCTTAGCAAAAGATGTGTTTGTAAAAACAAATTCCGTTTTCTTATCACACCTCGTTATCTACTTGCACGTCGTTACATATGAAAACGTTAAATGTAATAATTTAGTTCCCCGTACGATGTAATTTCGTCGCTGTTGTTCTCTCGAGGCTTGTGATGATAAGAATCAATATAGACGAGTTTATAGTTTCCTTTCAATTTACATTCGCCTAGTAATGATATTAAAAAAAAATAGCACTTGTGTGAAAAGTCATAATGTCATTATAAGCTAGCGCAATAAACGTGCTTATCACATACATTTCGTTCTTTGGACGTCTTTTATAAATTTAATTTCGATTTGCACGATAATGAACATCGACAAA